CTCACAGCCCTGTGGCAGCCTGAAGGGCCTTCTGTAGCAAATGCACTGCTGCTCCCGTTCTACAGGGTGCTGCACCTGTTGCCTGGCTGCCTGGCTGGCTGCCTGCCTATTTCTGACTGTGGCTGGGTGTAAATTTTAGTGTAGGAAAATCTGTGGGCAGAGGATCCCAGTCCAAAAATGGAATGCCCCTGCTGGATTCCAGCTCTTTGCCTTCAGTTCAGGGGAATGCAGAAAAAGAGAGCGCCTATCTAGAACACTGAAGTTAACTTTCATATTCCCTTCAACTACAGACCGGTAATAACTTCTGTTGCTTGCAAGCTGGGAGTAATCTAGAAAGCCCTGTAAAAGAGGGACAAAGCCCCCGTACCTACTACCCATTTGCTAACTCTAGTAAACCAAATGTATGAATTCTTGCAGAGCTGGTAAGTATGAGATAGAGAGGAGGGATTAGAGGAAAACCAGGTAGTACAGGAAGCGTGGAAGATCATATCTGGTGAAGGATAACATTTGTAGCAGCTGCTTCTTTCCCAATGCAGCGCTGCGCCTACCTGTTTTGGTCTCTGCTATTGTTCCTTGTGAGCTTCCTTTTATTCTTCAGAAGGGCCTTGACACTGTAAGCAGCTGTTACTTCTGTTGTCAAAAGGGCTGAGCCAACATGACTTCGGGCCTTTGTCCTCCTCCACATTTCCAGCATACTTGACAAACATCAGCAACGGGCTAGGCATCAGATTTCGCCATTAGGCTCTGGGGTTAATGCAAACAAGCGCAACCCTCTGGTCTTGTTTTACAAGGGTTTGGCCAGGAGACCTGCTCAGCATCTAAAGTCTGAATTCAAAGTTGTCATTTTAAGATCTCAGAGAATGCACCTGAAGATGTGAGGGGGCCACTGGGCTTGTTGTGCAGAGGTTGGGGAGCTGCCTCTTCACCATGGGTCCCATGCTGCAGGCCATTAAGGTATATTTGACCGGGCCTTTTTCCTAGTTCTGTTTGGATTTACATGGGGAGCAGTTTTGCTGCTATGTTTGTCATTCTCTTTAATGTTGTATAATGGTGTATTATTACTTTTTCGTTTTCAACTTTGGGAGTTACTTGGAAGACTTACAGGTGGACAAGCATCATACAGAATATTAAAGTAAATGTTTTGCAAGATTGCACATTGAGCCAATGTTTCTCAGATTTTGAGGACTTGGGAAAGGCTCTCCACCCCATTTCTAAACATGCTTGGCTTTCTTAGATCTTGCCCCCAGTGCTGTGGCAATTGCAGCTTGATTTTGTATGTTTAGCTGGGTGATAGTGCCAGAGAAGCATGGGGGCGAAGTGATCCCCACTCCTTCCTTTGTCATGACGATAGCAATTCACTGCGAATGGCATATGCCTGATTACGCAAGGTTCTTTCATGTAATTTCTTTATTTCTTTCCTGTGAAAGTAATGAAAGAGATGGGGGAGAGTCTCAGAAATCAGTTCAAATCAGATAGCACAGTGGGTGCTATCTCAGTGGGGTGGCAGTGAGGGGGGTCCATGGTGCTTTCTTAGCATGCTGCTTCAGCACCTCGCCAATATGTTGTGCAAGGGAAACTCCCTTAGAATAGATCAGATGCTTTTCCCATCCCTTGGTGAGTGTTGCCTATTCCAAACTTTTCCAACCTGGTGCCAAACAGATGTGTTGAGCTGCTGGGCTACAACTTCCATCAATGCAGCCTGGGTCATGAAGGCTGGGGATGAAGGGAATTGTGGTCCAACACATCTGAAGGGCCCTGGATTGGAGAAGGTTTATCTACTCTAGCTCCATGCCTTCCATACTCTCTAGGAGAAGTTTTCCTCCTGTCTCTTGCCACCTGACTTTTGTTGACTGTAGATACCGGCGGTTGTACCTGGGACCTTTTGCATACAGAACTTGTTCTCCATCACTGAGTAGCAGCTCCTCCCAAGTGAACATATTCTTTCCTTTGAGTATGTTGAACTTCTAATTGGTGCTTCAGTGATGGAGGGAAAGACTGTGGTGCAGGCGGCTTAGCAAAACTTCCAAGCTGCAGCCCCCGACTCCTCCCTCCCTCCCTCCCTCCCTCCCTCCCTCCCTCTCTCTCTCTCTCTCTCTCTCATAAGTTTTATTCTTAATAGATCTAACAAAAAGGAACTAAAAAGTCATCAATCATCAAAAACATCAGACCTACTGGGTCAGCCCCCCACATTTTTTCTTTTTACGTTAAACTATAAACATATTTAAATCTATGCATAGTCCCGTTTCTCTAGCCAATGACTCCTCCCTTTCTCAACAACAGCAGCTAAAGGGGCTGCCACAAAAGGTAACCCTGCCCCACATAATTCAAGCATTTGGCTCTCAGATGTGCCTGCATCTTGTCGCTGCCCAGCAGGATAAATGGATCTTTAGAGGAGGGGCTGTGGATATGTCTCGTGTGCCAAAGGTCTCCTGCCTCACATCTCCAGATAGGGATGGAAAACTTGATGTTTGAACCAAAAACTTTATGCTGCACAAGGGCAGCTTCCTGTGTTCTTGAAGATTGTTTTAATAGGTGTCCTGCCTTGCCTTCATCATTCCTTTATCTCATAACTTGGCTTGGCTTGCTTGGTTGCACGAGGCATGAAGGGACTGGAACCCAGCAGCTCCTTCCTCTGGCTTCTGCTCGTAAAGGTCCTGATTGTAGTTGTAGAGAAGAAGGCCATAATTTGTTGCTTTTAGTGGCAGGGGATAATTCCAACCCACAGCCTGAAAAGAATATCGAAGCCCCTTTGCTACCTGTTGCTGCTGGCAGAGATTGATGTCCCAAGGTCACATGACTGTCACATGACAGACGCACCTGGGGCCTGTCTGCAGTTACCGGGGTTGTTCATGTCCCCATGTGGCGTTACCAAGCGGAAAGCGTGTGTCCACCGGCATGGCAACTCTGGACACAAACAGGGTAACCCGATTGGCCCTGAAAAGGTGTGATTTAGTAGCGTTCATAATTCTTCAGCAGATGTTCTGCTGGGCTTGTTGTGACATGAACCGAAAGGCTGTAGAACTGGAAGGGTTTCTTCTGAGCTGCTCCTGTCTTTGGGCAAACATTTATTCATAAATTGTTACCAAGAGGTATCCTGGCGCAATGTGCAGGGGAGGTCAAACCTGTAATTATGTTCAGATTTGTGTTGGTATGGAAGCCTGCCATATAAAACATTGAGAGTGTCTGTGAGATATCAGTGAACTCCTGTGGAAGCCCAGAACCTTTAATGTTGAGAACAAGATGTGAAAAACATTTTTTAGTCCCCGCATTCCTCTCTTCAGAATGAAAAAGGTTTCACCAGTTTCTCTTTTGAAAAGTTCTTTTCAACCACTGGCTGTTGGTGGCCAAAGTCTTCCAAAAGTGATCAGCTGCTGAGCTTGTGTATGCTTTGCATTTTAACAAGTAGCTTTGTAGTCCCGGGAGAAAGTGAAACAGGGCATTTGCTTTCATGTGTTGGTGATTTCCCAAAAGCTGAACCAAAGAACTTTTATTCAATGTTACCTAGCTAAGCCAAAAGACCAAACAATGGTGGGATTCCCAAACTCTGATTCTGCTTGGATACAATGTAAATGAATTGAATATTAAGTGAAGGTTTGGGGTAGGATTCATATTGATATAGTCGAGATGCGTAAAGAAGCAGAGAGAAGCTTGGGGCAGATGTATGGTGGGATCCTTGAAACCCTTCTCCCTACTCTTCTTCCTCTGATAGGAATGGCTCCTGCCCTTTCCTGGTTGCAGCAGTGGTTTCAAATTGCAGGTGATGGATGAAAAGTAGTGGTTAAAATAGAAGCCTTGCTTCTTTATAAACTTGGAACTGAAACTATCTCTGATCCTGCTTTCAGTCCTCACTATTATTATTATCAGCAGCTGTGACAGTAATAATTAGTACTTACAAGAAATGTATCAAACAGACTCTTTGTGTGTCATACAGTTATTTTAAAATAAGACAATAAAAGAAGATGGAAGTACAAAAGCAAATGTAATTTTTTGGTAAAAATGACAAGCTAAGATCAGACAGTTAATAAAAGTGGAGTTAAAATAGCTAATGTGTCATGGGGATTAAATTAGCAAAGACATGGGATAACAAAGAACTCGTAACTTGGTGATGGAAAGAAAACCAAAATTGGGCACCAGGCCTAGTTCTCTGGGGAGGGCATTCTGCCCCTGGTTGGGGAGGGGCCACAGAGAAGACCCTCTTTCCAGCTGCCACACTTTGCAATGAGGAAACACTCAGGAGGACCTTGATGGGTGATGTGTAAGCATATGGGGACCGGGGAGACATTGCTTCCAAAGTTTTAATCCCTCCATCTTTTATCCTGTTTTTGTGTTTACAAAGTGTTGTGGATTCTCAGTAATTCCCCATCTTGGTGTGCCCTTTCTTGATCCTCAGTCCTGGATCCTCCAGTGTTATATGTTGCCTCCCAGAAGTTTTGCTCTTGACAACATGTCTTTGTACTTTCTGACTCACAAAATCTTGGGTGTGGTTCATCTAACTTCCTTGCTCCTTCCTTTAGGGAAGTCTTACTAGTTTCCTGCTTAGTAAGGGGCTGATTTCCTTTCAAAATCAAACCTTTACAAGCCATTTAAAAAATAGAATCAAAATGTGAAGTATTTGGAGGAAAGTGCAATCGGAGAAAGTACCTGGGGCACCTTCCAAGGTGGCCATCCGTAAACACCTGAATTCAAAGATTTATGGGCATTCATTGGAAGGCAGGAAGAACACAGCGGGTCGGCATCTGTGCTCCTCCTGCCCTACAAAACATTTAGATGTCAGTTTTAGCTGTCTAAAGGTTTGTCCCTTCCTTGTGAGAAAGAGAGGCTGAGATAATACTGGGATTTTTCAGAGAATGAGGGTGCCTCACTCCCCCCCTTCTTCCCACCCAGATCCCTTCCCGTGCTGGCTTCCATCTGCAGAACTCAGATGGCACAGAAAAGCCATACTAGCTGCAAGGGCAGAGGGAGGGCGCTCTGTGGTTCAAGTCTTGCTCTGCCCACAGAGTGTAGTTCCAGGACTGCAGCTGAGACTCCAACCTATCCTGGGGGCCCCAGACAGTACTGGGAAGCCATGGAATTGTGTCCTAAAGGTGAAATAGGAAGCAAGGAGAATCTCTGTCGTGATTTGGGGGTCAGGTGAGAAGACCCCCTACCCTGGGGGCCCCAGACAGTATTGGGAAGCCATGGGATTGTGTCCTAAAAGTGAAATAGGAAGCAAGGAGAATCTCTGTCGTGATTTGGGGGTCAGGTGAGAAGAAAAAGCAGGGGGAAAACAGATTGATGGGTTCCTTACATTCTCAGTCAGATTGCAATTTGAGAAAAATAGATCGTATATTTAGGGGATTAAAATCTGCATCAGATTTTAATTACTGGCATATTTGTTAAGACTGTCCTGGGAACAACTGCAGCTTGGACCCAGCAATTTTGTTGGGTTTTATTCCCCATCCCTAACCACGTGGTGTGTACGCATTCAGCCTGCCTTGGAGTAGTTGTGGTATCTTCATGTGACTGTCATTGCATATGGCTGACATATGTAAACCCTCTGAGCTTGCTTCAAGGTAGTGAAATTTGGGCACACGGGGCCTTACAGAAAGCGTGACAAGATGGTGTTTTCAAAATAAGTTAACCTGCAAGCAAAAGAATTTGCATGTACATCTGATGATACTCATTCTTGCAACTGTCATACGGTTTTGCAGAGCTGGTCTGAACAATCATTCTGGATGCTTCCATCCTGAGGCCTGAACTAAAGTGCCTAAATGACATCATTTTCTATATTTCAGCCTTGTGTAATTTCAAACGATCCTTTTAGTAACTGGGCTTTTCTCCAGCATATGACACTTTCTGCTTTTCTTTTCCACTTCTCTTTACCTTATGGCCTGGAATCTAGCTCAGTGTCTCTTTTGCCATGTTAGCTGAGAGCTTGCAGCGTCTCAATCTGGCATTCCTGGCGTTGTGAAGCTCACAAACACAGACAAAATATTTACCCATATCCTCTCTGGCATGAGTTGGTGGAAGGTACTGGCACTCCTGTTGTCTGCAGAGATAAAACATCTATTTTAAGGAGTTTGAGAAGCAAATGTCTGTGTTATAGAGCTGAGCACCTGCAAAAATGGGGAAAGTGTTTCTAAGTGAAGCAAGTTAGAATGGTTCATATTTACACCAAATGACTGCCTGATCATCTATCAATTATCTAGATACATTTTCTGGTTTATAGTGGTAAGGGGATCCTGAATGTGGAGATTTGCAGCTTTTGATTCATGAGATTTCTGGTATTACTATGCAAGTTTCTGGTATCACTATAAAAGGGAATATTTCCAATTCCACCTTTGATGCAAAAATATTAAAGGTCTTTCTTCAAATATTTGATAGATGCCTTTGCCAAATCTCAAGTTGCACTGCCCTTTTGATAAGCTGCTTTTTCTGAAAGGATCGTGTTACATTCTGGCTTTTGCAATGTGGATGTCTTTAAATGGAGACTAATTAGATCTTTATATCTTTAGTTAATGGCATCCTGTTTCTTTGAAGTGGTGATAACACTGGGGGAGTGGAAGAAACAAGCAGAAATGATCTGTTGGTATAGTGTCTTTTGTGGGAAATAAGCAGAGCTCTACCTTTTCCCATGTTTTACATCACATATTCTTTATCAGAGTTTCATCAGCTACAGGTTGTGTTCATGTGCATTATGTAATAGAAACATGAAAAATAGCACTTAGTTCTGCAGCAACACAGAAAAATGAGCAGAACATCCAACATACCAGTTAACCGCAATCCCAAAGTAGGAGATCCCTCCCTCCCTCCGTGTGTGTGTGTGTGTGCGCGCGCGCGTGCGCGTGCATAACCTGATGAAACAGTGCAAAAGTATTTAAGAATGTTCAGAATGCTATTGCTCTTACCTCACCCCTCCTTTGCGCTTCCTCCAGGAATGTTTATAAATCCAAAACTGATTTATTTGTCTAAATGGTTTTATCTTTTTCCAGCGTGGATCTCCCTTTATCTAATCTGTGAGGTCCCTGTAGCTGAGACAGCTGTAAAGCAAGTGCCCGCTTTTGGTTAGGCAAAAATGGTCCTCCAGTACTCATTCTGCTATGGTTGATTTTTGGACCATGGATGCTGGAATCGCTGAAGATTAGGTGTTGCATTGGTGGACGGAAACCAGTTAAAATCCATATTGTAGAGCATAGCAAATACATCAGTTAGTATACTCGCCTACTGAGCTTCAAGCATTAAGCGTAATGCATGCAAGTGGAAAGTAAATCATTTTGAAGCAAAAAATCCCAACTCCATGTATTGGCTGATGGGATCTGAGCTGGCAGTTGGGGGATCTTGGGCTAGTGGTGGACAGCTCCACTAACATATCCGTCCATGCAGAGCTGTTGTGAAAAAGGCAAACTCCCTGCTAGGCATAATTAAGTATAGAATAGAAGGTAGAACTGTCAAAATCTTACTCTCCTTACACAAACAGGTGGTGTGACCACACTTAGAATACTGTGTTCAGCCCTGATCACCTTACCTGGAAAAAGACTTTATTGAATTTGAAAAAGTATGGAGAAAGACAGTGAAAATGACCAAGGAACTGGATCAACTCCTCCATGAGGAGTGACTACAACAACGGGGACTATTTAGCCTGGAAAAAATGTGCATAAGGGGTGATACGATGCATGGTGTGGAGAAAGTGGAGAGTGTAGCAAAGCTATGGAACATGCTGCCACATGGAACTTCCATGCACCATATGGAAGTGGTGGTGGCCACTAGTTTGAATTAATTTAAAGGGGGAGTGGGCAGATTCAGGATTTCTGCTTAGCCCAGTTCCACACTCATAGCTTTCTGTCCACATGTCGTGTAGTGATGGTGAAGCGCTCAAGGCAGGCAGCCAGAATAGGGGTCTTACAAGCATGCAAAACAGCGACAAGAGAGAAGGCACTTGTCTGTCGTGGAACAAAAGAAAGCTGAAATAACAGAAGAGGCATCGGAAAAATTCTTTTCTCAGTAAGTTCAAAGAAAAGGAACTCCTCCTTAGCAGGAAAGAGTTTTCTCCCCAGAATGAATTTTACAAAATAAGCGCTTTATTCAGGCTTCTCTTTTATTCTCATCAGAAGTTATGGGGCTGCTTTGCCATATACCATTTTCCCTAGCCTAGTGTGCTCCTCACGAGTTGCACTTCGGTTTCCAGTCAGCCCCAGCCAAGAGCTAGGAGAGCTGGGAGTTGTAGTCCAACTCACCTAGAGGGGACTAGATGGTGGGTGGTGGTGACTGCCTTGCATAATGACGGATATACGTGCTGATTGTCATAGACAGAGTCAGCTGGTGGTGTTTGCCTTTCCTTATCATGCTTGACTAGACTAATCTCACACAATTTGTTTTACAGGTATACCTTCATTATTCTTACCTTCTGGGTGAACCTGCTGTGATGCAGGAGATGAGGAGTAGCTGCTTCCATATTTCCCAGTTCCTGAATTATTGTAATAGCTGGACTTTGACCACTGAATCCCAACTCTGTGGACAAGGACCAACAATGCTAGCAGTAGCAGCACTGCACTGGCAGTTGTACTAGCAGCATTGCACTAGTGCAGATCAATGCGTGTACAACCTAACTAGTGCTCTGAGGGTAATGTGATGCTGTGGAAACTTGGCAGCATTGCCCTGGCAGTGCTAGTTACAATGTGCAAGCGTTGCTTTATGTAAGTGTGATATCACTAGTGCTGGGGTTCATCTGGAGCCTCTCCTATGATTGCACACGCATGGAAGCGTTCCTCTGGCAGACTTGGCGATCCTTGGCATAGCAGTAGCAAATATGTAGTGCCAACTGTCCTTACCTACAAGTAGGAAGAAAGATCTGCAGAGAACTGTAGCTGAAGTGATCTTGCCTGCACCGTGCTGTGTACAAATCACTCCTCAATATAGATTAATGTAGTACAAGCAAGAAGCTGAAACTCTGTCCAGAGAGATGTCCTTCCATTGTGATTGGTTGCTTTTTCAAAGGACAGGAGTGTGATGCATTTCCACTTAGTCACAGAATAAATTTCCATCCATGTTCATCTGCAAATGTCATGCTCCATCCTGGACAGGGAGTGTGGCCATAGTGTGGGTCTCTGCTGTGGGTTTTGTCTGGTTTCTTCACTCCTGTTTGATCTTGCCCTGATAACATAATGTTCTTTCCCCCTCTCTGTTTGTCACAGAAGGGAAGGCATTTAAGGTCTTCCTTGTGTTCTAGAATGGCACGGCTTTCATTGGGAAGGAAGTACGTCAAGCAGGGATCTGTATTATGTGCCTGTTTATTCCTGTTGTGTTGTCCTCAATTTCCTTCTTCTGAAGCTGGGATTGGGAACCAATCATTTGCTTTATAGGAGAAATACTGTGTGTTTCCATTTTGAACCTAGGAAGGCTTAGGTAAAGTAATGCAACAGAAATGGTAAAAATTGTAACAGATATAAGGAAGAGACTTAAGTTTCCAAGCATCTTGAAATATTCCCCAAAGGCTATAAAATAAGAGTGGAGCACTATGGCTGTCTAGGTATTATTGGACTACATTGCCCATCAGCTCCAACCATGCAGGCCAGTGGTCAGAGAGAGCTGGTGGTTTTACTGCGGCAGATCTGGCTGGCTGCATGCTCCCCACTGCCTCTCTGGAGTGTCAAAAGAAGGTGCTTGCTTATAGTGACCTGGTTCTAGGAGAACTATCCATGACCTTCATTGAGTGCAGCCTCTGGAATAGTGTCGTGGAAGAGCCTCTGGGATACTCTGGGTCCAGGTATGAACAGATGTCTTTAAAACGTGTAGCCTATCTTTTCCTTCAAGCATCATACAGGTAGCAAAATGTTACTCTTTCAGTCACCTTTAGAGCACCTTTTGTTGAGGGAGATTGTTATTGCAATATGGTGCAGAGAACACGACAGACCACCCTATAAATCAAAAGCGTGCGACCTGTTCCTCCTCCTGAATGCCTTCTCTTTTGATCAGCGTTCCTGCTTTCCCACTGCTCCTGCTGGTACAGCAATATTCCCCAGGATCTCAGGGTTGTCACCAAAACTGAAGAACAATACCTGTTGGAGCCACTGGGAAGGGAATCTCTCTTTCACCCACCTGTGTCCCAGAAGGAGGCAGTATAGCTGCTTCGAATGGAGCAAAGTCTGCGTTACACAGCAGAGCCTACTCAAATGCCCCAATATTCCTCCTTTTCCCGCCTGTCCCCTCTGAGGGAAGTTCAGATGATAACTAGGGAGAGGGTCTTATGATGGTGCCCTCTCCCATTATGAGGCACTTCGTCCACCCGTGTCCACCTGGCACCAACACCGTCATGTCTTCCTCTACTCACTGTTGGAGCCAAAAAGATCAGGCACCCCTGCTGTAAACCTCTGGCTTAGTTTTGATCCCAGCGTCTTCCTGATCAAAGTTCAGTGATCTCTTAGCGGCTCAGCAGGCCTTATTAATGTTTGTTCAGGGGATTCGAAAGTTGACCTTCTCTGCAGAGAAACCTGTTTTTGCTCTGCTGACTTGTATTGATCACAGTCAGCCTTGCTGCTCCTGTTGAAATATTCGTGCTTATCCTTCACACCTGGAGTTGAGTCGCATTATTTTAAGCTGCAAGCTATTTTAGGTAGTAATGGAAATTCTGTCCATTACTACCTAATTTCTTTGATTCCCAGAGTGTGGGGCTGTCGTTCTTTGTGAGACCTGGACATTTGGCTAGGGTGGTTTTTCCTTTGGCCACATACTGAGTTAAGTGGAAGCCCAGCTTCTATCCGAACTGCTTCACGTAGCAACAGATTGTGCAGTCTGTCCTGTGTTGCCATTGTGAATATTCAAATTAGTTGAGTGTGCAGAGGAGGAGTATGCTTTGGCTTGGCCCTCCCAGTGGAGGTGCTGGTGATGTGGATGGCCATGAGTGCCTTTTACCACTATGGTTGGGTTGTGAACTGTGCCCCTAGTTAGGGAAAGTAGGCATGGCCTTGGAATAGCCTTGGTAGTGAGTGCTCTGGTGGGTCATGCTCTGGGGTGCGTTATTGTAATGCGCTCTACATAGTCTGTTTGGAAACTGCGGTTGGTACGGAATGTTGATCAGAGAGCAGGTACGGTGGGCACATTAGACTCATTCTGTACCAGGTACATTAGTTGCCTCTTTGGTCTCAACTTACAGTGCCAGTTTTAACATTTAAAACCCCAAACCACTCTACCCCACCTTGGTGACTTCCAGATGTTTTAGACTTCAGCTCTTATCAGCCCTGACTGGCACGACTAATGTTGAAGGAAGCTGGAATATGTAGTCCAAAACATCTGGAAGGCAGCAGCTTGGAAAATGCTGCCCGAAACACTTAGGGTCATCAGACGGAGCCATCCAAATCTGCCTATGTATTAAGATCTCTGTCCAAATCTCTGCCCTCTGTTCCATCTCTGACATGTTCCATGTTGATGCTCAGTGCTAGGGGCACAGCATTTTTGGTGATGGCTGCACATTTATGGAATCGATTCCCCCTGGTTATCCACATGCTCTATCAGCAGAAACGTTCAGCGTTCGTTCTTTTCTCATTCTGCTTCTTACTAATTTATCTTGTTTGGATTAATTTATGTGGTTCATTTAAAAAAGAGCATGTGTATTTTAAAAATGGGTGATCTTACACTGTTTTGCGAGGGCTATTATGCACTGATATTTGGTTTAGAAATACTGTAGCAAATTCAGGTCTGTACCATGGAAAGCTCTGCATATTATTTTTTCGTCCCCCAGATGCTTTGGACTACAAGGACCATTGGCCTCAGCCAGCATAAGGGATTATGGAGGTTGTAGTCCAAGACATCTGAAGGGCACCCAACTGTCTACATCCATCTATTTCACATGTATCTTCATACAGCAACAGCAAAATCTTCATAGCACTTGATGCTACATCTTGCTGAGTGTTATCTGAGAATGGGCTATTAGACTTCATCAATTTACTGATCATTCATTGATTTTTTTTAAATCTATCATCCCTTTTGACTGAGGAAATAAGTTCCCTTAGACTCGTCCTTAAGCCAGAGGCTCTTATCTGTTGACTTGCAGAACCTGAAGCTTTGGCACCTTTGGACTTTGAGTCCTGGGTGATTGTGCATTAAAAGGTTTTCTCAGTGCTTCAGAGCAAACAACTTGGGCTCAAAGTGGAGCTTCTTGAAGAAGCAGAGTGGTTTGCTGCCCATGATTACATTTCTATGCATCGTGGACGTATGGCACAGCTGAAGCTGTCTTGAATAGTCGAGACTTTATCCATTTGCAAGGTTGAAAATGGAAGAAGGAAATGCAAACTCAGCAACTGGAAGATGTTCCAGGGTCAGATGAATGGGATCCCCCAGTTCGCTGATCTATCCTTTCCACATTGTATTCTATTTAATCCTGTGGCTGCATTAGAGCAATCCACAGAAATGTGAAGCTTTCTCCTGACACTTTGTTCAGTGTGTGTTCAGTGACCGATGTTCATACACCATTTACGTCAGTGTTTCAAAATGATAATAATCATCTGCCAGGTATCAGGAAAGCATCTGAATCTCATATATTACCCTAAGTTACGCAAGATCTTAAGAAATGTCAATTATTTTGATGTAACACATCACACACTGAATTCAAGAGTGAAACTGATCCTGCACTTAGCCCAATTAATTGTGTTCCAGTTTTGCAAGTTTATGGGCCCAGAAGGGTTATTATGTACAGCAAACTATGCAAATTAGGCCTGCCATTCAAGTTCATATTTCCATTATGCATGATGCTTATTAACCACTTCTAGAGTGTGCGTAAGAACTAAATGAATGAATAAAATGCCATTCTTGAAATAAACTTTTGATTACCACTCTGTGCAATCTAACTAAGAAAACCTTGATTTTAACATAATTTTTTAGTTATTAAACATATATAAGGAATGTAGAAGTGTCCATTGTTTGGGATCTGGAACATGCCACAACACACCTGCTATCTTGGTTGTGTATATGCGGATGGCAGGAACTGTACATCCTGATTCACATGTAACGACAACCCAGGTTGTGCATTGTTGCTGACTCACGGTTTGTTGTTACATGCAAATTGTGCACTATGGGTTAACTCTGGGTTGTTGTTAAGTATTAACCACTTAGGAAGTGGATCTGGGATTTGTTGGTGGGTTGTGAACTCTGTTCTGCCAATGGTTAATAATCCATAGTTAAACTGTAATGCAGGGGTCTCACATAATGACAAGTCCATGATTCAGCAACAGCTTGTAGTCAGTCCATATCCAGAGTTGTCATTACATGTGAAGCAGGTCTCTGGAAACCTTCATTTGGTGGATACCTTTATTAGGACCAAGCAAAATATCAGCAAATGTCTAGCCTGATGAAGAGTTCTGAGGAATTCAGAAGCTTGCACAGTGTGGAAGTTTGGTTGGCCCTAATAAAAGCATTGCCTAAATGTGGGTTTTGTTTTGTTTTCCTCGTGGGCCAGCATGGCTACCTTTGATTTTCTGTGTGCTTTATTTAATGGTAAACAGAGGCTTGAAGGCTGAGATGGGCACAACATATAGCTTCCCCACCCTCTTTTCCTAGAAGTGGTAAGAGGAATCTATGAACCTTGTTTTAAAATTGATATTGCTAAATTGCAGCCTTCTGCAGGGAACTACAGGCGGGAAAAGGAGGTAATAATGATGTAACAGACCGAAGATGGAAAAACTTGAATATACCCTCCTGCTGGAAGTAAATTATGTTGCTGTTGGATTTTCTCTCCTGGGTGGAAGAGATGCAATGTGAAAAACCATATACAACCATACTTTTGTACTCTGTGTTGATTAATCCAGAAGAACAAGCCACCTCTTTCTTCTCTCCTTGCTCTGTGCCAATGCAGACACTGCCACTCCTCTGTATTTTTACCACTCTTTCGGCCCTTGTGATCTGGGGTACAAGGGAGTTAGTGAAGAGTGTCAAGGGAGAACTAATCCACTTCAAGTGGTCTCCCATCCTTTTCTCAAGAAAAAACCAGGGAGCTCAGATTTCTTTTCAAAGGACAGCAATTCACAGGGGCTTGTTTATCAGCTGTCCAGCACTGGAAGCCTTCCGCACGCCCTCTCCCAGCCTTTTAAAAACTGCTTTTAAAAAGCAAGGAGGAGTTCTCTGATTTGGCTTCTCTGACTCAAAGGCTCCTCCCCGTTCCTGTGATCCAGCCCTAAACAGAGTACGCACTGTGGAATGACAGGCATTCTTCCTTGGAGGGAGCTGGCAAGGGAGCATACTTGAGAGAATCACACCGAGCGTCCCGGCTGCTGGGGGCACAGGAAATACAAGAGGGGCAGAGCATTGGCCAACCTCGCCGGGCGTTTCCTGACTTTGGGCCGCTCTTATTATCTGGAGCCTGGGGGACCAACAAACTTTTCTGGGAGTTGACCTGTCATCCTCTGAAAGCTCATGCCTCTCCTTGGAACAGGCTCTCCTTTTTTCGCTTTCTTTTTCTCGAGCATACCTTGAAGGATCTCATAATGGGGCAGACACGCTACTCCAGACCGGTAAATCCTGCTCCTGCAGGTGAGTAATGGAAGGGGTCTAAGTTGTGGCTGAAGGCAGGGCAGGAATGGCAGGTAAGACTGAAGTGTGTGTAAAAAGAGAAGGTGAGGATTGTGTAACCTGCGACACTCAGCTTGGAGGGGCTGCCAGTTCCTGCGAGTGCTGAGAGAGGATCGCTTTTGTAATCCTTTCTGAAAAGAGGGAAAAGAGGATGGCGAGATCCTTGGCTTGGAATGCACTTGACTGTGTAATGTGCTGCACATGGGTGATTTGGTACCTTTCTGATCTTGCTTATGGCTGCCAGAGTGGTCAGATGATGGGGAAAGCTGGCTTAAAAGACTTCAGCAGGAAGCACGGAGTCGTATATTGTGTGTTTGGCTGCGAGGAAAAGTTTCACTCTGAGGAGCAGGTGCTTGACGGGTTGCACCTCTCTCAATCGCAGCAAAGTTTAGCAAGGGATCTTAATATGTATAGGCACGCTCTGCTTGTTTGTGTTCTCATTGCATCTGCAGTCTCACGGTTTGCAAATAAAGGGCGTAGATGTAGTTGGAAGTGAGGGGAGGAGAACAGGATCGGAAATGAAACAGAGTGATCCATAGGGTTTGAGGGACCTGGGGCAGATACGATGTAGGGGCACCGGCAGGGCCCCCAAAGAGGACCCTATGTGTATGGGAGGCTCTGGTGAGCCATGTGGCGAGACCAGGGCAAGGGCCGACAGTATATGTGGGAGCCCTTGATTTGTGGGAACCTCAAGTAAGTTTGCCGCTCTCCCAGCTCTGGTGCCTAGTGGGAAAAGCACGTGACTTGGGATTGGGGCTGATTTCTGGTCTAAGAACTAGCGATCCACTTATGTGTTGTATCACTGTTCTTCCAGTGTTGCCAGCCATGTTGTTGTCTGTCCCACTGCAGTGGAAATGAGAACACACTTGGCGATTCTAGTGTATTAACTATGTTTATTCATTTATATCCTGCCATTTTTGCCAGAAAGCCCAAAGTGGAGCCCATGTTCCTCCTCCTGTCCCTTTCCCCACACAAAAACTCTGTGAAGTAGGGTAGGCTGCAAGTCAACAACTGACCCAAGGACACCCCAAGAGCTTCATCACTGAGGCGGGGGGGGGGGGACTTGAACTCAAGTTTCCTGAGTCCAACCACTCTGTAGTGGCAACCCCCTCCTGTAAGATACTGACAGTTACAACTTTCTGTGTACATGACAATTGCTTTTCCATAGCAGCTCCAACTCCAGTTATTAGATATTCCCTATTTTGATTCTGCTGACCTGATTTCACTCTGGTGAATGGGACTGGTTGTTGATAGGTTTAAAATATAATTGATGGTTTGTCTTGCATGAGTCATATGGCTTCTGCTATAAGCTGTCTTTTAAATTTCCTGCATGTACTGTCTCATTTTTAAGAAGTTTGCCCTCCTTCGGTTTTTTCTGGGAGGCAGTATGTTATACGGTCTCCAGCATGGTGACTGTAGTACTAGTAGCATCTCTATTTGCAAAGGTAGTAAGTAGTAAGATAAAGAGGAATCTAGTAGTATTTGAAAATACTACTATTTGTATGGCTATGTGGAATGGTACCTAGTCCCTGAAAGCTTAAGCCCAGCAGATCTCTCAGTCTTTGAAGTGCCATGAAACTCTTTCTCCCTTGTTTTGTGCTATTTGGTTTTGCTGAAACAGAAGAACATGGCTATGCAGCCTCAGTGGTTGTGTTTCTTACATCACATTGGGCTTTCATGGGCAACGCAACTCATCTGTACCCCTAATAAGCACCTATATGCAATATGCATATGCATCTTTTGCTGATATGGTCGACATAATATATAATGTTGGGAACAGCCATTCTAAATCCAAATGTTTAATATCTTGGAAAGGTATCTCTTGAACGCAGCTGAGATTTCTTGCCACAGGGACGGCATAGCAGTCCGCTTTCTTTGGCAGGGTGAACCAGGTACCCAGTTCCCAACCCCGAGGGAGATCTCATTGGAGAAGCGTGATTGGTACTTCAGTCAGCCTCACACTTACAAATGCCATGCAGGAGTCTGAGTTCCCAAAGAATCTTTAGATCCCACTACGAGCCTGGAGTGGCTCCTGACTCTTTTCCAATGTCCCAAGGCTCTGAAGAGCACCTGTGGCAATGAACCAGATGGGACACCCAGGGTTGTCATCAGAAGACCTTCTTCACTACCAGGAGATCCTTTTGTTGAGGGTTTATTCAGGGGTGAGGGTTGTGGGGAAGAGTTTACTTATGAACAGGCACCAGTTTAGGAAGGATTCCCCAGCTGTAGTCAGTGAAGGAGCAGATCCAGTTGCGACTGGTGATTCAGGGGACAGCAAGCCTGTAAGTCCTCCGTCTGAGACCTTTGCTGGGCTAAGAGCTTTTCTTGAGCTCTTCCAATGTATGCTCAGGACAGGAAGATGACCTTTTCCTATACATAAACTACCAGAATATAAACATTTGAGCAAACGTAACCTGAGTCAGTCTGGTGCTACCAGGGATGTATGGAAAGAATTTGGAATCAAATTAATTCTCTATTCTCGTTGTTGTTGTAAGATCTTCATTTTTGTTGGATAAGGGAGCAGGTCAAGAGAGCACTTACTGGGTTCCCTATCAAAGGAAGAGCCTTCTACATTGGTTTCCTGACTTCAGAGCATAATTGACAACTGTGGATTAAATTAGTGATTTCTCTCTCTCACTAGGTTGCTGTGTTCTGCTCAGAAAGCGGTGGGAGAGGAGGCAGAAAGTTGTCGACTTCAGTCTTCATTTTTCTGTTTCAGAATTGCATTAATAGTGGTAGTCGTAGATGGCGGTATAGTATGATCCCATTTTTTTCACTAGGAGCCAGAAGCCTTGTATTTTTATTTTTTTAAAAAGGAAAAATGTCTTGGGGAACGCATTTCCAAAACCTGTGGGCAGCTCTGGGTTTTTGCTTGCTTGCTATACAACTGCTGGATGGCTGTTTAGACTGTGTCAAGAAGTGTGCAAATATTACTTGAAAGGTTAAGCCAGGGTTAATGCCCAACTAGCAAACACCTGCCTGTCTTCAAGGATTTTTCCAGGTATTCAAGACGTATGATAATTGTTTATAAGCCGGTGTCTGGCCTGCGTTAAAAATGGATGGTATGGGTAGAGTCTGAAAGATGCAGGATGGGTGTAGTGTAGACAAGATGTCCAGCACATTCTTAAAGTATAATTTCATTGTCTAGAAACAGGGAGGCATTAGGGTGGTACATGCAAATGGCAGCAAGTATGAAAAACGGGAAAGGCTGTGTTCCTGCAAGTCGTTCATGCCTGAATTAAGTAGGTGTCTCAAACCAGGCTCCTCTTCCTCATATGGAAGTTTCAGTGTATGAATGAGAAACAGCCTATTGTCTTTCCTCAGAGCAGGTTTCCCACCTTGACGGTATGTATAAATTGGGGCTTCCTTACTGAAAGAGCAGATTAAGGCAGAGGAAAAAGCTCTCCTTTTTTTTGGCAGCAGGTCACAAACTCTAAATAATTGTCAAAGTATCACCTGGCTCAGATCGGATCAGTTGAGTCTCATTTTAGTTCAGTTTCACAACTAATTAGGGTGCAAAAACGGATGACTTTGTATTGGCAAAAATGCTGTATAGATCAGTGCAGAACTGGCACTGTGCTGTCACTGTACCCTTCTGCCTGGAATTGATGAACTGGAGTCGATTAATTGTTTGCTGCAAACAGTTGTTGATGGCTTCAGGTGAGAGATAACACAAGGATCGCTTTAAGGTGAAGCGTTGGCAAGCACTCCTTGTTCCTATTCCAGTGTCTGCTGGATCTCTGTTCTACGTAACAGGTTTTCACTGATAGCGCAATGAGTGATTGTTCGCTTCATGATCAGTTACTTGCCTGCTGAGCTGCTGTGATGTCACGCACCACTGGTGCAATGCAGCATACTCGAAATGGAGACCTAATTTTACTGTCTTGGCGCTAAACTGTCAAACAAATTCGCTATCGAGCAAATGTGCTTCCTCTTTTGTCGGCATCTATAGTGCTGCATCTTTAACATTTATTTTTCAGTCACTGGGAAATGTATAACCCTGATACACACAACTTGTGGCTTCTTAAAGGCAACTTGATGTAGAGGGGCATAGACTTTCATGGGTTACAGTCTGCTTTGCCCGATGCAGAAATTGTACCGGCACCTGGCTGTGCGTGTGTACATGCACACGTATGTAAGCATGTATCTGTCAGTTAGCCGAGGTTGTCTGCAAAGTAGTTGACTGGTATCCAAGGAGCTATAGGTCTTGCCTTAATACACATTTTTATCCCTCTGAGATACGTAACGGGAAGACATGATTCAAGCATGTCTTCAGCTGCTGCTGGACTGCAGCTCCCATTATCCCTGGACCACATAACTAATGGTGCAGTAATGATTGGAACTGCAGTCCAATAACATCTGGAATGCCGCATGTTCCCCACGTTCCTCATCCTGGAGTTAGAGAGAGTGTGTGTATTTTGGTTCATATAAAACAGTAATTTTATTTATTTATTTAACAGACTTATATGCTGCCCTATTTGCCTAAGCCTCGGGGCGGCTTACAAATAAATAAATATCATTAATACAATAAAATACAGTTGGAGACATCCTGGCCAAGGTTGTTAAAATCAATAAATAAAATCAACAATTAAAATGACGTTTGAATAAAAAGGTCTTGGCCTGGCACCGGAAAGCAAATAATGACGGCGCCAGGCGGACCTCTCTGGGGAGCGCATTCCACAGGTTGGGCGCCACCGCAGAGAAGGCCCTCCTCTGGGTATTCACCCTCCTAATGTCCTTCCCGGAGGGCTCCCGGAGAAGGGCCTCTGCCGCCGATCTCAAAGAGCGGGAGGGCACATATGGACGTAAGTGCCCCTTTAGGTAACCAGGACTCAAGCCGTTAAGGGCTTTGTAGGTGATAACCAACACCTTGAATTGGGCCCGGACTTCAATGGGGAGCCAGTAATAGGACACCCATGGACGTTTTGCCATTTTTATTTATTTAATTTTTTTAAATATTT